ATTAGGGTGCTGCAGCACAAGTTTCTCAGGTGAAGCACTTCATATAGCCTTGGAGTAAGCAGTTTTCAGTTGACTGCTATTTGAAGCCATTCGAAGTCGGCGCATTGAAGTCGCGCAATCAAAACACAATTCAAAATCATGATGTGTATGCACCAATATTGGGATCAAACTCGACGTCATTAGTTACTTCAGTCTCGGCCAGTTCTGTGTATGTACCTGAAGGAAACAAGCCACTGGATTTGCAACTATTCCTTGAGCAAATTGATTAGGAGTCTGTAAGCAAGATAGATGCTTTTCCTTATATTAGCAAAGTTCGACTGGAGGCGAAAATGCTGTAGGCCCGTGTGCTCAGATTTGGCTGCACTTTTAAAGAACCCCAGGTGGTCTCAATTTCCAACAGCCCCCCACTACGGCGTCTCTCATAAGCGTATAGTGGTTTTAGAACATTAAACCCCACATATCAATCATTATATGAGCGATGGAAGTAGTGGCGTGTGCACTCTGATGCAGCTTGCTTCATATGCCCCACTGTGAAGATGTTAGTAATATTCATACTAAAGCATACTTTGCACACTTTCAAATGAGAGCTAACAGTATCACTGAATGGGCAGTATTGCGTGGTGGCATTCAAAATATTTGGAGTTAAGCCTAGACCCAGAGCTATACAGCACTGGAAATTTGAGTTTCCGCGGCTGTTAGGTGAATCATCATCAAGGTGGTATTGGGCACATTGCCATCCATTTCCTATGCATGGTAATGTAATCTGCACTGCATGGTGAACGTCACTAAAGATGACAACGCATGGAGGAATGTACATGCTGTGTACGTGAGTGGTGTTCTTTTATTGTGCCACCTTCTCCAGGCACGTTTTACCACTTTGAAACTTATAAGAACAACACCCTTTGTGAAGTTGATATGGCATGTTGAACAATTACATGATTAAAGGGCCATCTAAAGAAATATATAAGTCGAGATTGCTTAATATTGGTCCAGAAAGCTCATATAGTGCTAGTTCATCGTCAAGGAAATGCTCATTTAAAGTAAAATCGCACTTAGTGGTCCGCATCGTGGTATCGCCCTTGAAATCGTTAGCCTGGAAGCCGACCTTTACGTCACGGTTGTCGTGGCCAGTGTTGCCCGCCTTACTGCACAGCTGCCGAAACAAATAGCAGAAGAGGTAAGTACGGGAGCCACAGCAGCAATAACAGCCATTAAAAATTTTGTGCCTGCTTGGCTCAACTGAACCTAGCTAGATACCAACTGACCAGGCGGAAACTGGAACTTTCAAAACTATTGAGTTATTTAACAGTCTGTCTTAATGTATTAACTCTATGGTAATGCGAGGTGGTTATTTTTTCTATGAATCAGGCCAACAAACAAACAATATTTCATTACTGGTTGTAATGCTTAGAAGGTTCTTTATATACTGTTGATTACCTGTGATTGTAGTCGAGCCTTTTGATGTCATTGGGATCATTTCACAATGTTTCACATTGTGGGTGCATATATTTATCTAATTTCGCTATTAGTAGAACACTGCTGTGATATCATGTAAAGGGGGCTCATTGAGCGAGCCGAGCTAGCGGATGGTAGCTCGGAAACAGCGTAGGCAGTCCAAGAGTGATGTTACTAGTTCGTCTATCTTGTCCCTTTTTCTCGGGTAATGATAGTTGAGCAGATGGCATCAACGTCTTTCTTCATTATAATTACCCCGGCTAAAAAGATGAAGCCATCCTGGCAATCGTTGGGAACAAGGGGTGAAGTAGGGCTCGAGATGGTCTACGTGAACGATGTCACGTCCACGCGCCGACGGTCGCTTGGTGGCGTGAGAGGCTCAATGGCGCAGTTCACGGGTGATTGTACACTCGACCCATGCAGTAGGGACCATGATTATTGGAGAGTAACTTGGGAATAAACCAGGGGCGCAGAGCGGTACATGCAGCCATACAAGTGCGCGAGGACACGTTCTCCCATCAAATCGTCTTCCTTCATTATAACTATTGATGTTTTAGACATTACCATGCATTGATCATTCATTCCGACCACAGATTGTTATTTGCCTTTAATTTCCCTCAAGTATCGGTAAATCACCGATAAAACACTCGTCTAGAAAATGGGTATCTGCATCGCAGACAGCCAGTTGAGAGGGGCCTATTCTGGGCCGGCAGCTGACCGACAGTAGTTACCAGCCGCAGCGGTTGCGGTGCTCAAAGCCTGACCTCAAGGTCATGGGCTTGAATTCTCGCAATGAAACTGCATTTTAAATGGAGGAGAAATGCTAAAGGCCCGTTATTCAAATTGTGCACCAGAGGGTCAATACTTCCGGAACCCTCCGCTATGGCATCGCTCATAATAACAGTGAATAGTGGCGTGCGGGTTAGTTCTAGAGGGCTCCCAATATGTTGCAAAGGTGCGTTGGTGTATATTTATTCGTCAATAGCAAGTGTTTGTGCAGTTCCTTACAAATGTTTGAATAATGCTTCTAGTCACTGTGAACTTGTATGTGCAAAAATGCTTGTACTTTTTTTATGTTTACCCACCCAGCTAAGATCTGGTACCAGATTGCAGTACCAAAAATAAATAATAAATAAATGAATATGAGGGCAGGTTGGGCACTGATTTAGGTTTAGCTTTAACGAGACAGTGAGAAAGAAACTTCTTTCTTGGGTGCCTTTCTTTCCTAGTCTGTGCCAAAGTGTACCCCTTTGAGATCAGGCTGTTTTGTCAAAAATGTTACAGCACAGAAAACAATGCAGGACTGACAAGGCACTGTCGTACATTGACCTGCCCGAAAATCGCACCTTCCTCGAGCTATGTTGCTTAAGATTCCAGGCAATTCGTTAGGAACCCACTTTTGTTCACAGGTCACTGTGGAAAAGGCTTTGTAAGTTCATGCTCAACTTCCCCTTCCCTCCTCTCAACAAGCTTGTGCACTGATATAAGAAGTACAAGCACTGACATGACATGTGCGCTGTCTTTTCAAGAAGCTTCCACCAAAAAGAAAGATCAGCAAGCTTTATTGTACAATATTGCTAGGTTCCAATGTCCTTTATTTTTGTTGAGAAGTTAATTTTCCAGTCAGACTCATGCAGGTTGAGATGTACTGTGAACATAAAGTGCATATTGTCTGCAGGGTGGTTTCCTTGGTACAGTTATGTGGTTTTCTTCTCTACCTGAAAAGAGTAAAGCTTAAGAGGGCTGGTAGTTTTTTCTTGATGCATCAAAAGAAAGGCTCATGTTTTTTATGCTTTTGGTGAAATATATCATCATGAAAATATATTGATAGACAGCTGTGTGCATGCTAATGCTGACTCGCTCGTTGGTTTTACAAATGACCCCAGTGTTGTGCAAGTACAGCTGCGTTGTTTCTTTTCCGGATCCCTATCCATCATCACAGCTGTTGAGCTGTGGGCACAGTGGCTAATAATTGAACGCCAACATGCCTGAGCCACTGCAACAGGAACCAGTGTAAACTTTGTGCAACTCTTCATTGCCTCAGAGGGCTGCCACGCATGGGCAACCGTGCTGTTAGATTGCTCGCCATTGTTGATCCTATTAGCAATACTAGACTCACACTTGGCCTTGCTACAAGTCGGGCCTAGCGACCCGCGCTCCCAAAGCATGTGTGCCAATGTAGCGGTCTGTCCGCAGGCGATGTCGGGGAATTTGTGGAGATTAATTTAGGTATGCTAACGGCAGGTACGAATGGGTTTGAGGTAAGTGAAACGAGGGAGGCCTGCGCTCCATTGAGTTTTGAATATGGCACCGGGAAATCCAACCTCACCATGTAGTAACACTTGGTAATCTCATTGTGAGTGGTAGGGGTGTCTATATGTCCCGTGTCGTCAGCGCTGGAGCCATAGCCTAGATCGAGATCAGCACAGTCGGAGAGTGCGCGCGCTGCTGTGGGCTCCGACTTGCTTGGCTTCAGGGTAATGCACTTCGCCGAGCCGACATGCGCGGGGAACCAATATATGGTGTGAGGGACAATCCTTTTGATGGTGAAACTGGCCTGTGTCAATATGCGACCCTTTTGGAAGGCGCTGACTGCGGCTTTTGAGTTGCTTTACACCTCTTCACATCGACCGCATGCGATGCTTCGCAGCGAGTCACATTGTCGAGGTCAGTCCCAAGCTTTTGTTCTGTGCTGCTCGTCTCAGTGTGATTAACCTTTCCAGCCACTATACTCATGATATCCATAACCCACATAGAGCTATACTTGTTATGGTGCTGGGAGAGTGTACAAACTAGGTTAGTCTATTTCATACCACCAGCTTGTACATGGACAGTAGTTAGAGTGTACAAGAATCCAGAACACCATATGCTTGGGCCACATGGTGTGACACTATGATGTGGGCCATTGTGGAGCACGAGAAAAATACATGCATTGTACCCGTGGGCTTTTCTTCTCTCGGAAAGTGTGCGGAAAACCATCCAGGGGAGTCTCCTGCAAGCTGTAGCTTCTTCATTTTAGTTGCCACACATTACAGGGCCGCAAATAGGAGGTCCGACTCCCTCCCCCATCGCAATTTTTTTATGCTGTAACGTTTTGGATAAATATTTACACTTTGCGAAAGCTATCACCAGTCGCCATTTTACACAGCCACCCCCTTTTTTTTTTCTCCAAAAGAAATTCCTGGGCACGGCCCCACCACACAAAGCCTTTGAAGTGGGGGGGGGGGGCAAACTTTTTTGAAATGGTCATTTTTCGCTCTGTATGTCATGGCGATAGAAGATTTGGGGGGGGGGGGGGGGATCGCATGGGTCGGTGTGCCACTCCCTGGTTACGCCACTGGTGAATACGTATTTTCAACTTTAATAATTCGGTGAGGCACACAAAGGAATACGAAAACTCATGAGTCAAGCAGCATTGGCGTAGCTTGCAGTTCTGGGCAAATGGTGCGTGCGTAAAAACGTGCAAATTGAAAACGCCCATTTTTTGGTGTTAGTGAGTGCTTGTGTCGATATTTTTTTACGCTTGCAAAACAAGACAAACAACGCTTGTAATCCAAGTATTTATGGCAGTGTGAAGTTGTCTGCGCTAACAGGTTGTCCATGTTACAAACGTAAATTTCCCGCTGATTAAAGCGATTGTTTGCCCGATCTTTTTGTGAACTGCTCGCCAAAAGGACGTTCACTGTTCTTCGGGCCTTCTTGAGCAAATGGAGAGATGAGATGAATATTATTTGGCAGCAGATGCATTGTCATTGCATAAAGGACGGCATGCGGTTAAAGTTCCTAAAGAACTACAGTAGCGCCACCCCTTGCTTCTTCCTCCTCTCTCAGCAGCTGCTCAGCGCCCCTGCAGCGTCCTGCAAGAAACTACGAACTAAGGCATACCCTCTCTTGGGGCTCAGTGAAGGGTAAGCCCGTGCAGCACCCCCTCATCGCTGGTGTTGTCGTGGAAGCATAAAAAACATGCGACTGAGGACAGACAAGATGGTGCTTGCACTACCAAGGCTACCATGCATGGGGTAGAGAGGAGGAGCCTGCACAGTGAAACGAATGGCGCTACTTCAGTTATTTCTAGGGACGTTACCGACGGTAACAGAGCAGCGCACAGCCGACAGTGGCACCCACTGCTGGAACCAGGAAGCAAACGAGCGACAAGAAGTCGTTGACAGAGGGCAAGTGCTTCTCCATGAACGTGTCTGTGAACGGGATCTCGGGGATCACCTGCAACAGAACGATGCACTCATCAATGCTGTAAATAGAGCTGTGAACATCGTTACAAAACCTAATTGATGTGCGCGGCGCCTGGAATCTCCCTCCCCAACACACAGGCACAGCGTGTTGGGGAGGGAAATTATTTTGAACATCCAAGACTGGTTTAGTGTTCATCTCATGATTCTCCCCTCAAGCATTGTAGCGATGGAAGACTCACATCATCGACTGGTGGTTCGGGCTCCCAGATCCGCTCCTCGTCGATCAAGCCTAGTGAGTGAAGAACTTCCTTGGCAGCCCTCTCGCCAGCTTGGATGGCACCGTTGATGTAGCCCGACCACTGACTCGCCGTCTCGGTGCCGGCGAAGTGAAGCCGCCCAATGGGCTCTCTGATTAAACTGCGCCAGGAGGATCACGGCAATCGCGATGTAGGCAGCAAACAAATTGCGCACGCAGCTGATTTTCGACTATCAAACATGAGAAGGACTGAAATGCGAAAAAAAAAAAAGCTGGGTGCATATTCACAATTTTGCACTCAGCTGTGATAACCAGACCCCCTGTTAGGTCTAAGTCTAGGATGCCAACCAAATTTAAAGTTGATGTGCGTACTAAGTCACTGCACGAATTTCCCAGTGAGAGTTCGCTTGTGTCCGCTGTAGTTATTTGCCGACATTCTGTTGGAAAATAAAAAGATCCACGTAGAATTCCTTCCTGGAGCGGAATGATGCATTGCAAAAGCTTTCCCTGCTGATCACCTACTATAATTCGTCATATAGTGCTATGTGTGAGCACCCTTTGTTCTTGTTTATGCCAAGTATTACGTGCTCGTATTTCCTGTGCTTGCAAAACATTGCGGGCTTTTTTGAAGCGCTCTTGTTGGCATTGGCACTGCATATGTCATCCTTCAACAGCGAAGCAGTATATTAAGATCTCGGGTGTTGTGGCATTGTCTGCGGCGCGTGGAAACTCCTTTATCCAACGAGTGGCTTATTTTCAGATGCGAAGGATTTATGCCGGGGGCTGTGTCCATCACTCCCTCCCAGGTTAGGACCACCTTAAACCAAGCGACAGTGTGATGTGATTATATAGTCATTGGTCATAATGACGTCACAACTTCACATCCTCCGTGACTTGTGTCGTAATCTTCTATGACGTTCGATTTCCATACCATTCGTATTCATGTTGTCGCCGAAGAGAGTCACTTTTTCTGCCTGCTGTAATGTTTGCGCCTTAAATTTCGCTAGGCTAATAGTGAAATAAAACTGCGACATCTTTGGTAAAATAGAATAACTGGTGGAGAAGGAAAGATAGAAAGGCTAACCTGTCCAGGATGATTGGTTTGCTACCCTACATAGGGAAACGGGATGGGGGAGAAAATAGAAAGAGAAATAGCACAGCACAAAGACAAGCCCACGGTCAGTAACAGTCTATCAATCTGGCGTGGAGTGCGACATTACTGTTAGAGCCGCTTGTCCAGGTCAGTTTTTTTGCAAAGTTCTTTTTCTTTTTTTGTGTGTGAAACATGCCGAATACAAACTATTAGGATTGATTGTCGAAGTGAACAACCCTTGTCCCTTACATTAATCTTTCTAGTGCAGAGGAGAACGGCGGAATGATTGGTCTTGTCCCTTTTGCTGACTTCGCCCGGAAGAAGTGTAAATGGCTTACTTCTTGAAAGTGGTGAGGAATCCAGGCGGCATCATGCAAGTATAGCAGCCTCGCGCGTACTGCTCTCCTGCGCAGTTGTACTCTTCGTAGTGAATGGGCTGTAATCAAAGAGCACAAAATCGCACCATATCAACACATTTCTTGGCCACATACATATCACAATGAACATAAAATGCATCATCCTCTCTCACTAACGGAGAAATCGCACAAGAACCAGGAGCGAATACAGGATTTTTACGAGGAGGTTGGGTGGTCAGCTTATGGGAGGGGAGTTCGGGACATCTACATACTCCTCTGGATCCTCGAGCGACAAAAACACCGTCTACGACTTCATTCAATTTTGCTATCTTTAAACCAGAGCTCGATTTGCTAAACGTAGTGGCGTTAATCATGCGGGAGGGGGCGGGGATGTTCAGGGCGACTATAGCGAATTTCCCACACGCGCGGTGTGGCTGAGTGGCAGATACAATTATGCGATACAGCTATATACGTGCGAAGTGGGAAGGGGGGGGGGGGGGGGAGAGCAAAAGTTTATTGCAGTGCATCCCCTTAATAAGTCGAATATATGGGGCAGACTTCGTCCCCTCCCCGTGCATAGGCCTATATATAGGCATATATTTTGCGTTCAATATACGTTTCACGTTTAGATTTCAAAGAAGCAAAATATTCTATTCTCTATTTTACAAGCTTTCAGATTTAAAGAAATAATTCGTCCGTGGTTGCGAGTTTGGTAAATTATGATTATCACTGCATTTGCGGTGCAGACAGCGTCACAAGAGTTCCTGTGCATGCGTCCACCTTCTTTTCTGTTGTGTAAGAATAGCTGGCGCTTTCATGAACAAGATCGGTTGAAACACAGTGCTGTTTCCCGTGCTTTCTTTTTTGCAGGAACAGAATCTGTAGCAACTGTTACACAAACCATATCGCAAACAGACAGCTGGATCATTTCTAGCATCCGTGAATGACCAAGCACTGGTTTCTTAAAAAATGGAGATCTAGCGCACTCACATTGAAGGCCTCATCAGTCTTCATGGCAGCTGCGTACGCCTTGATGATCATATTTTTGCGTTCCTCAGGCAAAAGATTCACCAGACTCCTTGCCTTGCTGGCAGGCAGCAACCTGCAAGAAAAGGCGTACCATTCACAAAAACTGCACCACCTAGACACTTTCAGTGAATTTAGTGCTAGGAAATTTAAGTGGCACCTTCTGGACAAACGCGGTTTCAATTCGAAGAAACAAGTCAGTTTGAGAGCAAGCTCATCCATTACACTTCACAGTAAACGAAGTACTAGCTCAATTTCGTAGTTCACAAACTTTTTTCAGCGAAGTTCCAGAAGACACAACGCCGAGCATTTTCGAACGTTTGTTTTCATTCCACCTAGTAATAAAACATGTGAACAATTACAGACAACGCTTTAAATGGCACATTTAAACATTTAACAATGTGCTTCATTGAGAAAAGCTTGCTATTTTTAGAAACGAAAAAATTCTCACGTATCTTTCAAGCATAACATTTATTTAAGAAAATTTAACACTGACAAGCTCGGTAGTACTAAAACGATGCACACTTGAAGGGCACACAAAATTTTGATGCCCCTTTAAATATAAACGAGCCCTAAAAATATTCTAATTGCACTAGGCTTTTTCTGGTACATCACACATTTTATCGCCAAAGGAAATCAGTTCTCATAAAGAAGTCCTGTCGGACTTTGTGCAGACGCTTTCAGTCGCATGCAATGCAAGTTCACTGTCAAAATAGACAAAATAAGGCTACTTCATGCATATATTAGATTAAATATTGTGGCCCATTAACTGATGCCAGTTACATATAGAGCTGCTAAATAGAGGTTGTGCATACCCAAGTACTGTCCGTCCGGCTTTGTGTCATCGATTGTGTACACGACGGGGCAGTCTTCAGACAAGGTGAACAACATGGAGGCGGAGTATCCTATGAAAAAAAGTGGAGAAAATTGGCAACATGTTACACTGTTCATAACACTCGAAGTCAAAAACCTGTTGCACGCTTGGTGACGCATCAGTTTATACAATGTACAAACACAGACTTCTTGCAAGACAAAACAAACCACAGTGTGAAAGGCATGCATTAGATTAGCCTGTCAAATGCATTGTTACTGCATTCCCTTCTCACCCACCCCTCTCCTTGTGCACCTCTTGTGGTTCATCTTGGTCACTCTGTGCAATGCGACAGGACACAAAAAAAGACGAGAGACAAAACAAGCGCAGCATATTAACTGGGTTTACTGAAGCTTCAAATCAGGCTTCTCACGGCCTAAGCTACTTTCATGCCCCCTATAAGTATAAACAATTAGCAACAAAAAGCCGCAAAAAGGTAACCAAGAAAGGTATAAAAAGGCACGATATGAATTGCATGAGAATCTACCTATACATGAGAAAACTGCGGAAGTAAGCTGGCTATATGCGACTTGTGAAGCATAGATACCCATATTCCTTATCACTTAGGATACTCGGCTACCTTTCCTACTGATATGGAAGGTTTCTGTTAGCCTGTGGCCTAATAGCTTCCCTTCCTTGGCCATAACTGCCGTGTCCTTGAAAAACTGCCTAGCAACCGCCTTTCCCGGCAGTGCACAAGCAAATGCAAAGATGGGGCAGAATAAAGAGACCGCTCATGCTCCATTAGTCACATATGTTACCATGTGGTGCGCTCTTACCTATGTACAATTTTTGACATGTTAATAGAATCTACAAACCGTATGTGCACCGACTGCGTAAGGTACTTAATTATTCCGGTGCTGGAGAACGAATTCATTTCTACGCGACTACCTACACATCCGTCTCTCTTTTTCCTTGCCAGGTTACACGCTTATTAAAAAAGCTTAGCCAGCGTGAAAAAAACTACTTTCACCACATAATTGTGCTCGATCTTAGCGTAGGATGAGACCGTTCAAAGGTGGATTTGAGGCTTCAATAAACCCAAGAGTTGATAGGCAGTCTGCGATTGTTTGTCGCACCTTCTTGTTCGTGACTCTAACTCCCACCGTAGTTCCACTAAGATGAACAACCTTGCCCAACTTTTTAAGCTGCTTACCTCATGTGGTGCTGCGCTTCCTCTTAGTTATATACAATCAGGGGCCACGCATCATGCAAGACATGAGGAGCGATCGACACACGTTGGATTACTGAGGTCGGCCCACCACCCTTGGCCAAGCATCTGTGTCATGTGATGATACTATTATATGACGTTGTAACCACGTCGCAAAAAGTATCTTTCTGTCCGAGCTCATTCTCTCTCCACACACTGCTCACACCGGAAAGGTCACGTGGACCTTTTGTACCACTTCTAGTGTCCAAAGTGTTTTGCTCAAGGTCTCCAAGCAATGAGTGACGTAGGGCTCTCACCTTAAGGTGTACTTGATCACTGCTGCCTCACATTCATTAGAGATAGCATACTTCATTTCTCAGTGGGCTATCCTTAGTGAAAGTAGAGGTAGCAAAGGGTTTCAGCAGGCACAGAAAGTGCCTCTACGGTACACACTCGTATCCAAGAATGAGGTTCGCTCACCGATTTTCCTCCAGAAGGGATCCTTGTAATAAACGAGGCACTTCCACACGGAACCCATAGGCATTCGCTGCAGCAGCTGGTTGCGCATTGGAGGCAGCGGCGGTGAGTAGTGGACACGCATTCGCATAAGAGGAGCCATGGCCATGATCACGTGGCTGCCCTGCAGGTAACATTACAAGCGAAATCATAGTATGAGCGTGAATTTGCGGACAGCGGGAAGGCTGTGCCGCAGCTGTCGTCAGTACATAGAAGTGGCACGCGAGGCCACATCACATATGGCAAGTACACATCGTGGCAGGGTGTGATTTGATTACAACCATTCAACAATTGCAATTCCTTATCATTCAGCGCGATAGACGTCTGGCTGACGCACACACTTTGTTTTCTTCACGTGCTCGTAATGTTCCACAATCTCGCGATTGATTTGGCTATTACGCCCATACATTATCTCTGTTTTATAAAACATTGGTTCGCTGTGGCACGTTCTGCAATGCGCAGCTGGCTTCACGCTAGCCAAGTTCTTGACAGTGGTGTGGTGCTCTAAACGACGGTGGTTAATGCAGTGAAGTACTTTTTACCACATGACCATAATAGAATGCTATAAACTACTCCCATCAAGCACGGCCCGACCTGCCGCCAGTGCTTGTCTATTGACAAGATCACATAGCTTGCTTACAAACACGGCCGACCTTCCCACTTTTTTTGAGGGGCTAAGCTCCTTATGATGTGGCTCGTGTGTCCTCCGATGTCGTTGTGCGTAACCGCCTCGCATTAGTTTTTGAACTAGCCATAAAGGGCGGTACTTGTACTATAAACAAATGCATATATGCTGAAAAATGCAAATAGTACGATACTAAAGGGCGTTACTTGTGAAAATATGAATGATAAAAGGTGAATTTCATGAAAACAAGACTGGCAAGGTTCTGTTTGTCGTTGCATAAGTCAATTGCCAAACTTAGGGGTGGTTGTTGCCATACTGCCGCCAAATTTGGTAGAGAAATTTGCTTCTGTAATTGTGGCTTCTTTGTGAGGGTTTGGTGTCGTCCGTAGTGCATTTTCTGACCCTGAAGGATCACACACACACATGCCGGCAAGATTCTGTTTCGCGTTGCATGAAGTGTCGCCAGACTTGAGGGGTCAGTGTTGCCAGACTGCCGCCAGACTTGGCAGAGAAATTTGCTTCTGTAGTTGTGGCTTCTCTGTGAGGATTCAGTGTCGTCCGTGGTGCATTTCGCGAGCGCATGAGCAGTGCTGCCCGTTTTAATTAGTGGAACGAACCGCGCCTTGCAGACGTTGGGACGCGTCCTCTTGCTGTGTGCGCAGCTGTGCAATTAAGAGATCGCGTCTCAGTATTAGGGACGACGGGGAAAACTGAATAGAGTCGCAGCAAGTAATGCGCTGCCCCCCCCCCCCCTAGCAAGGGGAAGCGTAGTGTCCCCGTCGTGGTGCGCGGTTGATGTGGCACGATCACCTGTGAAAAAAAAGAAAATCTCTTAATTGCACAGCTGCGCACACAGCAAGAGAACGCGCCCAACTCCTGCAAGGCGCAGTTCATTCCATTAATTAAAACGGCCAGCGCCCCTCATCCACTCGCGAACAAGTTCATCGCTCATGCACTTGCACTCGTGAAATGCACGGCGGACGACGCGTCGTTGCTTCCCTAACTCAGAGACAAGATCTCTTAATTGCACAGCAGCGCACACAGCAAGAGAACGCGTCCCAACGTCTTCACGGCGCTGTTCATTTCGTTAATTAAGATGGCCAGCGTCCCTTGCCGGGTTCGGCAAAGGTCGCTCATGCACTCGCGAAGTGCACCACGGACGACCCCAAACCCTCACAGAGAAGTCACAACTACAAGAGCAAATTCCTTCGCCAAATTTGGCAGCAGTTTGGCAGCAACCACCCCTAAGTCTGGACACGCTGACACAATTTATGCATCGCCAGACTACAGTGGCTAGAATAGGAAAGTGTGATGAGCGGCCTACGGAGCGCACTGAAGCCTCCGAGGAGGAGCCGTGTAAGGGCGCAATCGTCTATACGTTGTTAGCACGTTTCCGACAGTTTCGTCGGGCGCGTTCGTTCTCGTTTTTTTTTTTAATGAGGTGGCATTCTTACATCAATGCTTCTGTATGCACTCTCATGGCGCGAAAACAAAGTCGTTACTTCGTTCCTGGGTTCACTAGAGACTACAAGTCAGCTAAAAACAATTACTTTGGTTTAGGCTAGTTGGTTCATAGTGCTCACATAGAAAGGGCAGCGCAAAAACTCGGGAAAAAAAGAAGGACAGCAGAGACAGAGCGCTGACTAACAACTGAAATTTTATTGCCATCTCCTGTGCATGTATATGTGCCTAAAATGTGATAGAGAGGAGGTTTAGAAGCAAGAAAAGAAGGCTGGTTTTAACCAGTGATAAAAACTGCAAACGATAAAATCTTCAAAGAAACACGCTTGCGCGAGTTCCTTTAAGCTTGATGAAAACTGTATGCCAGAACACATGCATGTTGATAGCTCTCAACCCGTCTTCACATATCTCACAGTCATTTTTTTCCTACAACGTTTCTTAACGATCCAAATGTTCGAAGCACTTCGGAGCATGTTGCTGAAAACTTGTGGCATTAGATCACGGGATGACTGGCAGCGAAAATACGGCGATCGCATATGTTAGAGACACATGTCGAATTGCTGCAACCAGACTGCACTGTTACCCGTAAGTTGTCTGGCTGGGGTAGACGCGTTCCTAAAACACCTACAATGTCCAGTGATACACACCCTTGTGCTTGTTGATACCACTAGAGTGGTAAGCGAGTGGGAATATAACACACAGTTTTTTAACTATTTCTTGAAATTAAATAGGCATCTCTGACATTTCGTTTTTGACTACTGGCAAGGATGTGGCCAGAATAGCTTACAGTGCACGAAACAGGCGAAGTGAGTGCACTGTGAGCTATTATGGATCCTCGCTAAATAGCCCAGTCATAAAGCTTGCGTAGCCAAAATTTGTTTCCGGGGAAAGGGGAGGGGGGCATTTCGCTGTTTTCGGGAGAGGCACACCCTAGCAATAACCATTTATCGCTCACTATGCCAGCAAAAAAAAGTTTAGGGAAACGGAAAGGTGCACGGGCCCAGTGTGTCAATCCCTTGCTACGCCCCTGCTTCTTAATTGTGTTAGTTAGAAGCTTGACTTACTACCACGAGGGTGGTTAACATATTTTGGGCAACGCACAGGAATTTGTTTTTTTTGCATTCATACCTTTTATTTCATTATTTGAAGTGCAGCAAGCAAAAACTAGTGTCTGAACTGTGCGATGTTTTTGGTGGAACTAACTGCAAAGAGAATGACCATAACCGAGGGTTACTCGTGCCGTTATTTGTATTAAACTTGAAGATGTAAAAGTTGCATTGGCTACATGGCAGCTCTTACAAAAAAAAAAAAAGGTTCGGGTTTCCTAAGGGGATCTAAAACAGCCCCTGAAGAAAATTCTACCGCAGAGAAATCGTAGCAAACCAAAAGAGCGAAGCTTTATCATCAAGCTAAAATAAAAGAGATCAAGAATCAAGAGCCCATCCCTGAGAATAAGGTGGAGGGGCTCACTGAAGCTTTCTCTCATACATGCATCTTTTTTCCGATGAGCATACCTTTCTGTACATGTTAAGCTTGGGGCACCCACTTTTATATTACACGCAAGAAAAGTGGTCGAAATGTACTTATGCATAAGATTCCGTCATTTGAAGTATAAAACAAACAAGAAAATGAATGCCGAAAAAGTCAGCTCAGCTCTCACGCCACCAATATTCTAACCGTATCTTACTTGCTTTTATCACAGACGTGTTCTGCTTTCCATGTTTGCCCCCTGAAACCTATAAAGCCTCATGTAGGCTTGTACCCAACCATATACCTGAAAGAATATCAGCACATTCAATCAGAACATGTTCCATCATTTCCTTAGCTCCCCCACAACATGTAGATTGTTCTTTTTTTATTGAATCTCGCTTTATGACTACGCGTTCCAAGGCAACCCGACCTCGCTTCGAACAGTAACACACTTCCCCTTGGATTATCATAAAACCTCTCCCACCTTATTTCGTTCTTGCCCTTTTGGTAGTTACTGAGAGCCAGCTTCTTTTCCATCGCTGTCATCCAATAAATATTCTCCACCTCTCCGAGTCTTCGCTAAACGCTCCTTGTTGCCATATCGCCCACATTTCGAGCCCTATATTTACTGGTGAGCCGCCTAGTTCTTTTTCTCCTTCTTAAGCCTCTCTTCAAATATCATTTTGCTCTGAGCTTCCCTTACTTCAAATTCAAAGTCTGTCATTCTCATATCCCCATTTACAGCCTCATTCAACGTCTGTAGGAAAAAGACACTTCTGCCGGGCTTATTGGCGCAGCGCGCTAAGCCGTCATAGCGATGAAATCGGTCACAAGCAAACCATCCACATTTGACATCACGTTCACTTCACCTCTTCGTCGTCGTCTTCCATGCACTGCGCGAGCACTGTTTGCAACATCCTCCGCGGCCAAAAATATTACTTGCACTGTTCTAGAGGACAAACAAGTTGAACCGGTCTCGTGGGCTCCATGCCGTCTGCTAGTTCGACTTTACATGTCCTGACGTGCCCATCATTACCCTTTAAGGTTTCAACAACTCTCGCTAATTTCCAAAACGTAACAGGTACTTTGTTATTTCCAATTATGACAATGTCACCACACTCTGAAGTGTTTACTAGCATCTCAGACCGGCTATGCGCGCTTCTGAGCGTCAGTATATATTCCTCATGCCAGCGTTGCCAAAGGTCATTTAGGTTTTGTTGTCTAGGTCTCCAGGTGCGCAGCATCTCTGTGCGGCCTCCCGAGTTATAGCTAAGTTGCGCTTGCGGAATGGCCGTGAGGCGTCTACCCAACAAAAAGTGTGAAGGAGTCAGTACTTCTGCTTCAGCAGTATCATCAGAAATGTATGCCAGTGGCCTAGCATTACGGCCTCGACTTCTTTTAGTAAAGTGTCATGCTGCTTGAAGCTGAAGCATCCTTTTCCTAGAGTTTTCCTGGGGCAGTTTTTAACCATTCGATTCATTTGCTCCTGCCTCCCCATCATGGAGTGGGGTCAGCAATGAATTTTCACGTGATACTACTTGATGCACAAAATTCCTGTACCTGCTCATCTCGTAGAAGTCTACATGACAGCTTAAGTTCGCGAATTGCTGCTATAGACGTTAAAGCACTATCATAATATGTGAAACTTGGTAAACCACGATGTGAAATATTACGACGAAAAGCCAATGAAAAAGAATTCACAGTCATGTCACTGACAAGTTCCAAGTGAACT